GGCGGGTCAAAGGGAGTTCAGTTTTGTCCTTTATACAGACTTGTTGAGGCCACATGTGTAGGACTGTGTCACCCTTCCAGGATGTGTAACACTCTTACGGGCTCCCTGATACAAGAAAAGGTGAGGCTTGGCAGGGAGAGTTCAGTAAAGGACCACAAAGGTAATAAGGAGACCACAGTATTTTTCCAATGGGCAGAGGCTGATATTGATTTGAAGTTCTAGGGAGGTAAAAGTTGGCCATTAGTCTTAGATTGAAGTTTAGGGAAGTACAAGTTCGCCATTAGTCTTTCAGAGTTATCTTTGGATGTTATGTTTTAATTTTTCAGGTCCTTTCCAAATTTAAAATTAGTAAGCCGTTAAACTCACTTCTCATGTAGAACTGTGAAGATGCAAATGATGAGGGAGACTTTAGTTTTGTTAATACTATTAATGGGACTAGAGGCTCTAGGTACAAGAGAACTGAAATCCCAAATGCTTTGATTACATCTGCTTTCTCTGCCCTGCCATCTTGCAGTATTTCAGAAAGTGATTTTTTTTGCCCTGCCATCTACGGGCTCTCGTGTCCACTTATACAGACAGTGCAGAGATTGCCTCCAGCTCAATTCTCACAACAGTCACTTTTCTGATTCCTGTATTCCTGAGATGCTCTGCGGCTATTTTCAGTGTTGTGTAAATCTTAAAGGGAGATTTGATTTTTAATGCTGTAAAGGTTTGATGAATACAATTAAATCTAGAAGAAATTCTGGGTAAACAATTGTCTTTAAAAGGGACCACAAGTTACCAGGTGAATTATGTTTTTGTGTAAGTAGCCTTTGTTTTCATTATACGTTTAGGGCCAGATTAAATACTTTTGTCAAGGAATTTGCTATTCTACTGTGTCATTAGAAGCAGTGCAGAAGACATTATATGAGTTTCTACTATGTGATAGTAGTCTGCTTACACAGTAAATTTTCTACAGTATGAGCTGGAGACCTTATTTTATTTTAAAAAAACTTTATTTCTTTTTATTTTAAATGTTATTTTTACTTTATTTGTAATTTATTTTTAGTTTAGTTTATTTTAATTTTCATTTCAGTTTTAATTTTATTTATTTTAAAGCTTTGTCTGTGCTAACTGTTTTCAGTGTTTTACAGATGCCTGGCATGGGAGAAAAATAGTCTAGTTCTGTCTTCATGTCTTATCCTTTTTCTTCATAACATTTGGCAGCACAAGTGCTTCCTGGTGTAGTGCAGCATTAGTGAGGTGGTACATAGACACAGACTCTGTCTGTAGTGGCTCTGCAGTTACCCTGTACTGACTCTGGTATGTCACTGCAGTGTATACCCATTTTTTTGTGCTACACAGAGATACAATCTGGAGTAACAGATGCCTGCTGGGGTTCTGCACTGTGCGTAGCCTGTGGTGCTCTTGGGCTCCACTAGGGGTTGGAAAGTAGTGCCAGGTACTCCAGTCCGCCTGCTTGGTGGAATTGCCCCGGAGTGAACAGCATGAAATCCATGACTAGCATGGCTGTGGTGGCAGCTGTCCCAAATTTAGCACAAATGGTGTGACAATGAGCAAGCATTTTGTTCTGCCTGTGTCCTCCACCCCCCTCTCCCCAGTAAATAAATAGAGAAAGAAACCCCAAGTGTTAAATTAATTTTTACTGCAAGAAGTTACAGAGCTTTATTAAAATGCGACAAATTGTGTTTGTTAGAGACAAGATGTACTGCATGACACTATTTCAGCTAGTTTGTTTATCTGCATCTCCTTGATCTGTGTATTATGAACAAGCTTTGCAAATGAAACTTAAATGTTAGTAAGTTTGCTTGTAGCAGTAAGAGTGAATGGTTGCAGATAAAGTGAAAATTTTAGTATTAAGATGAAGTTTGAGGAAGCACTTTGCTAAAGTAATCTGAAAGTAGGCTAATAGAAAAATTCATGAATAGAAGGGTGTTCTCTGCTTTTGTATTGTGTTGAATTGTACTTGTATTATTGCAGGAAAAAAACAGAATTTTACTTACGTTTTAGTTGTAATGGGTGTTCTTTATGCTTAAAAAATAGTTTTTTCAACTGTATATTTATTTCAAATAGCAGAGGAGAGAGAAAAAAGTGGCTGGAGAGACATCACACTTGTGTGGTTAGCACTGAAAATAGTGAAAAAAAAGTGGATTAGCTCTTACAGTGTTACTTTCGTGTAATGCATCATCCTGCATGCTAAACTCTTTAGTTACAATGATTGGGGTCTGATTTAGAAGTATAATAGAAATCAACAGTTTCAAATATTTGTCTAAGTCTTAAAACTATTTCAGAATATTGTTCTTATGATTTTCAGGACCTTGTGTCTGTCCACCTTCAATCTACTGTGATTGATACCCTGTGATTCTGGTGGTGTTTTGGATTAACACATCTCCTTTCTTGCTGAAATTTTCTCCTTTAGATGTTCATAACCACTTTTTAAATAAGTCTTATGTCTTCATTTTGTGAGGCAAAGTAAGCCAGATTCCTTAGACAATTCATGTTCCTGATCACTGAAATAGTTTGTTATTGCATCAAATAAAGTTGAATCCCTCTGTTGTTGTTGTTAAATGTGATTTCACTTGTTTTGTGTGAATTTAGAAAGAAAAATGTAGTAGTGTGAGGAAAATTTGCTATAGTCTTTACTGTTTGATTTCTTAATTAAATTTGGTAAGCACAATGGTACTTGTGGTAACCAATGGTACTTGTTTTAGCTTAATTTTTGTTGTTTTTGCAGGTTTGGGTGTTGACCCTAAATGTGTTTCTTAGCCTTTTCCCAGAAGTCTTGACTCTGATTCATGCAGTAGCTTTCTGATTCCCTTTTCATAGCATGTTACTTTTTTTGTAAGACAGAGACTATATATCAGTTTTCCCCAGATACTATGCAGATAACACAAATTCATTTAGAATATAGGGTTTCCTACTGGTTTACAACTGCTAAGAAATAGTTTCTGTCACAAAAGAACCTTGTTGACTCAATCAAAAAAAGCCCAGCCCAACCTTTTCTGTTGTGTTGGTTGGGTGTATTTGGTGCAGTCTTATTCCAGCTGCAAATATGGCTCAAAGCAGCTGACTGAGTAATATTTATTACAAATCTCTTCACTGTACATTATCTGGAACCAGCTGTTCATTATTCCTTCGCAGTCAGTACCTTATTATTGAAGATCATACTTCATAAAACTTCAGAATTAAATTTTATTTAATTGAATATTGGATTAATTACTGCATGTTACTTAAAGCAAAATTCTTTACAGACTTCTTTCAGATTCTCCTCTCAAGATGTAAAACTTAAAACCAGGATTTCTTTCTTTGCACTAAACTATTCTGTTATCCACAACACAGCAACAAATTACTTTTATATAAATTTATGGGCTATGGAAGACTTTTGTTACTAAGGTCACTACACTTTACTTGAATTGGTCACAAGAGGCTATTGCTGAGATGAGACAATAGTTTGACCAGTCTGACTAAAGACTTTTAAATGTATTGGAGTGTTAATAGTATGAGGATAGCAGTATTTCAGTATCTTTTTCTTATCTTTCTAGAATTGTGCAGCTCTGCTTTAGTAGCTGAGAGTCTGAGCCAAGTTAGCTTTTGCCACAGTTCGGTTAGAGAATGGCAGATATGTGCTAATAGGGAATGGTCACTTAAACATTCATTATGAATTTTGGGCCTGCTCTTTTGTTACCAGCAGAGTTTCTGAAAGCACTGGAATTGTCTGACTCTGTGGTATTTACCTCACTAGGTTTACTTCTGAAAGCTGTGTTAATGCTGGGAGTGCATCAGCTGCTTTATTAGTGTTACTGAACAGTGTTTATGTTGTGTGTATGCAAGAGAAAACTTGCTGGTAGATGTATAGTTTCATGTCAGTGTAATATAAAGCAATTTTATGCTACTGACGTTTGTTCTATTCAAATACTTAAAATGTTGCTTTTGTTTAATTAAAAAGTAGTAGATAGTGTGTATGCGACCTAAAGAAAGGTTGCAAAGGCTTTCGTGGACACAGAATGAAGATGCATATCTGACTCTTTGGGGTAGCTTAGGTACAGACCTGAATAGCAGGGAAAGAAGGTAGAAAGAACCTTTTTAGTGTTAGAATGTGTTGCAGTATAATTTGTTAGTTGTTGGTCCAGCTTAAGTTGGAAAACAAGCAGGAAACGCACTAGTGTTGGCAGCCAAGCTGATCACAAAGGTTTAAGCTTAGTAAATCCTGCCTGTGGCAGTAGAGGTGCCTTGCTGACATCCCATTCTTATGTTTTGTGATCTGTTTTCAGATTTCACATTTTCGCCTTTGAAAAATACCTTCCTGAGAATGAAGAGTATCCTAGAGCTATCAAATATGTGTCAGATCATTTGAACAGAGATCATGCTTATAATAATTTTTTCTTTACATATAGGGCAAACTTGTTGGCAACATCAGAAAGCTAGCAGCTGTAAGAATGTTTATGAAACCTGGTATAATTTGGAACCAGTAACTTTAAGCTGGGTAGACTATGTCCTCTAATACAGTTTTAAAATATCTTTTCCTGACCTGCCCTTTGTTTCCCAGTTTAATTTTGTCTGGGATGTTTGTGCCTATTCAAAGTTAGAAAGGTTTAATAATGAAAGAACTCTCTGTTCCCACGTCTAATTGCTAGACCAGGCATATGTACAATTAGGTGAAAGAAAATCTTTTCTTGACTTAGGTGTGGACTATCCACAGGAGTTGTTTTTCATGTTAATGCCTAACTGCAAACCTCTGAGTTTGGTCAGGTAGTTTCTAGAAATACGTCTGTTCTTTTTTTCTTGCTGTTTTTTTTTTTGTTAAAACTATTTGGAAGAATTAGCCCTAAAAGTTTGTCTTTTATGGATTTGTTGAAACTTATATATATATTCTGTTGCTGACTTGGCTCTGAGTATTGTGTAGTTTTGGCGCAGGTCTCTGTCTTAACCATTTAAGTTTATTTCTTTCTAAGAAAAGGACTGACTCATACGACAGAGCAGCAATATCAAATTTTTTTCAGAGCTTTTTAGCTGAGAACATGAGGAAGACTTGAATCTCCTTCTAGAAAAATTTTTGCATGAAGAAATAGGCAGCCAGTGTCGGTGAGCTGTGGGAAAAGGTCTTTTTGCAAAATACCTTTTCCAGTCCTTGATTACTTGGTGATCACGCAATCTTTTGTGCAAAGGATAAAAGGTAAGTCTGATAGTGAGTTAATAACAAACTCTTCTTGTGGCAGTTGCATAAATAATGTTAGGAAGCTTGACTAGTTTTCTAAAAATTTTAATATAAATCTGTTAAGTCACATTGTTAGTGGATCTTTTGTGCTGTAATTAATAGCTGATGCACCAATAACTCGGTGATATTTTGTGGAATCTTTAAGTTTTCACTTAGTATAAACCTAATCTTACTCATTGTTTTCAGACTGTAAGTGCCTCAGTCTGAAGACTTTGTTGTTGCTGTGTCAATCTTTCAGTACTGAAAATCTGTCTTGATAATTTCTGAAGATATCATGATTCTTCTGCTTGAAGAGAACTGTGTCCAAGTGAAGAGGAAGAAACTTTTTTCTTGCTGGATTCTGCTTCTTAATTTAACATCTCTTCGTTCATTTGTAAACATATGCCCTTTTGTATACTGTTGCTGAATGGGATATCAGTAAAAGTGAATGTCGTTCCTTTTAGGAAGAGAAGCGATTTCTGTGATGGTTTATTGACTCCTGAATTTTGTTAATTTATATTTTACTAGTTTGATGTAACTGGAAATACTTAGGAAATTTCTCTGGATTTTTTGCTGAAGTTGGTGTAGGAGTGAGTTGAATCACTTCAGCAGAGTAATTTTAAGTTAGTTATTTGGGTGAGACATACCTTTAACCTTGTCCCTGTTTAACTGTACTAATTGTATGTCCTACCCCACAGTTTATCCATGGTATTGGATGTTCCCAAAAACTTAGATATGAGCTCATGTCATTAAAAACAAACAGCAGCTCAACTAAATACAGTTTTACATAAGTCAAATCTTACAAATCTATTAAACTTCCTTTTAGAAGCTGGAACAGTCTTGTCTGTTGATGGAAATCTGCAGTAGCATGCAATATTCTGGTTCAGGCTGGAGAACAACCATAATTATGAGTTACCAAGTTCAGATTCCACATCTCTTAGTAATACATTACAGCAGCCAAAGATTAAAGTGAATTATATCTGTGCTCAATAACAGATTTGCACTCTGCTGTGCAGAGATGTGGAATTCACGTTTATTTGGGCCCCCCTATAGAATGTGTGTGGGTGTTTATTATATTTTCACTAGCTGGATTTCTAACAGCATGTATATTGTACTAGAAATTTTTTGAGTCATTGACCATTTTGCCGTGACTAGCTGCAGAGCATGGTTTGGTTGCCCTAGTATAATTCAGGGAGTGGTTAATCCATTTCTTTCCTGTCTCTGCTACAGTTCAGCTTCAGGTAATACAGTTCACATTACTTGTGTTCTCTTGCTTATTGAGTAATATTTTCTTACCAGCGAGAACAGTGTAGGGTAGAAAAAGTATTTGTGGGTTTTAATAGTAAACCATTACGTTCTTTGGCCCATTTTCAAACTAGAGAATTTTACTGGATATTGATACTCTGGACATATAGACTCTGTTTCCATTGAAGAGAGGAGACATAGAGACATTGTGAGGTTTGTAATGAGCCCAAGTATGTAGGTTTTTCATAAGGAACTTTCATATGGCTGCTGAGACTAACTGTTAGGGATTAATTAAAAATATCAGCTTCTAGGAAGCTAATAAAATAACTTGCCAGGTCCCTTCTAGATAGTACCAGAATGTATTTCAGCAAGCTAGTTTTGCCATAGTGTTCTTGATCAGACCTTACACAAGATGCTTCATCCCATTTATAGGAGGAAATAAAGAAAGAAATGTTACATTTATATTTTCATAATTCCTGTGATATATTTGATTTATATGACATTTTACTAATAAAAACACAGATTTGATACTGTAAATGATATGATGATAGATTCTACATCAGATCTGTGAGGAAAACAATACGGGAAAACAGAAGTGAAATACTGAACAAAAGACAAGAAGTGTAATCCCCTTGTATTTTCTTCTGATTACAGGGACTTGCCATGAGGTGCTAAGCCTTTTTTCAGTGATTCGGAGAGACTGGACCTAAATGGCGCAGCATGACTTTGCTCCAGCCTGGCTTAATTTTCCTACTCCACCATCATCAACAAAGGTATGTTTTGTATTGTTGTTTTGAAAAGGCACTCTCATTATTAGGGAAATCTAAATGTCATAACCTCAATCACAGTAAAAATGCCAATCTCTTAATGAATACTGTGATGACAGATGACTGCAGTAGTTTTTTGCTTCAGCAGTTTAGTTCATGGAGAGAAGCACATATCTGGCCTTGGCTGTGGTTGGTTTAAGACTGCGTTCTTCAGTTGTTTAAACTTAATTACTGTGTTCCATGCTAGAAGTACCAAGACAAAGCATGTACTTGATGTTCTTGTTTCTGATTTTTAATTGTGTCCTTTAAATTTTAAGGGAGTATTATTCTGTCATCCAAGTGATTAAAAGTATGCTTTTTTAGAGTTTCTGAAGTGGCTCTGCAGTTGGTGGTGGAATGCTTGTTGCTACTGGTGGAGTGTGGTACTTTCATATTGTTAGGCATCTCCACTCTGGTTGTTCATTTAGACTACTGTTACTTTATGTAATGGGACAGCTTGGAAATGGGAAATAATAATCTCTTTTAATTGTTAAAATTAGTAAATATTCCTGGAAGTCTTGAGTATATCTATATCAGAAATGTTTTTTCTACTCTTTCTTAATTTGTGCAAATGCAGAAGCAGAGTCAGCAGTGGATATTAAAACTCCTGTTATCTGTTTCCCTATTTGTAGACCTATCTTCACTCTAATTGTTTGAATTCAACATTTATATCTGCTGCTATGAGAATTGCTTTGTTTTTTTTTTAATATATAGACTTTGTGCAGTCTTTCACCTCCATGGAAAATGCTTGGCCTTGAGAAACTTAGGGCAAATAGGCTTGTGGTATTAGTAAATGCACAGAGAGATGGCGGTGTTAATTGTGTTCCTAATGCTTTGATTCTGTATGTCTACACAAACATAAACACATTTTTTTAGTCAGGTCATTGAATGTCCTTATTTATATCACTCTGTTTATGTCTCCTCTACCCTGACCTAGCTAGATTCTTTGTTTAGTATTGTCTGTTTCTGGGAGCATAAAGCCTGTCTGCTCCAGGATACATAGTGTCTGAAAATCCAAATTAAGAAGCAGTCTTTGTTTTCATTCTTTGTGATTTCTGATTAATTCAGCTCCTTTGATCTGATTTTTTCAATGTAATATGTTTTAAATTGGAAAAGTATTTGCAGCTTAATTGATATGGTGTCACAATTGCAAAACAATCTTCACTACATATTTAGAGAGTCTGCTGCAAGAGCTTTACCTGCATGCTTTATGTGCCAATATAGCAGGATAAAACAACGTTCCAGAAGTGCTCTAGCACCACTGGAATTTATCTGAGGTGTGGGTTATATTTGTCACCTCATTTCTGAATTGTATGCAATTTTGTTGCAAGTGCATTTTTCCTTCCCTCTTTGATGATTATTTGCCTCATGGAGTTTAGTTAGATTTTCTTCTCTTTCAGAAACTCCATGTTGTATGTATTACTCTGTTGTAATATTTGTGTGTCATTGTTGGAGTGCACCTTATTTCCCTGTATTACCTGCTCCCTCAGTGATGAGCGTTCTGTGATACACAGCCCATTTGGATTTTAAGTGCTTGAAATGTCTGTTTGTAGTTCTTAGTTTGCAGAATGAGACTTGTGATTCCTCCACGAGGCAGGTCACAAGTGTTGTGGCTCCCTGTCCCCTCTATTTCCTAAAATAGACTTATTTTCTGCTGTATAGCAAAAAAGCAGAAGAGAAAAGCAGGTAAGAGGGATGGAGATGATGAGGAAGACAAGGTGTCTCATGTTTCATGCAGAATGGAGCTGGGGTGAGGCTATGGTATTAGCAACATTTGGACATTTTAAACATTTGAGAAGTAGAATCTGAGCTCTGCTTAGTCAATTTTTATATTCCTGAAGTGTGATCACTTTCAGAGATTACACCTATAGGACCCTGGTTTTCCCCTTGAGCCTGTGGTAGCTGAGATGTTTTTTCTTACATAGCTTAAGGCTGGCATTACAGAAACCTGCTACCAGGAAACCGTGATTGTGAATGAACTTTTTTTAATGTGACATACAGATTGCAGCTTGATTGTAGCATCTCATCTATTGCTGCTGATTTCCATTTAACAGCAAGTTTTTCTCATCTCTCTGTCAACTACACAGCAAAATCCACCTAAATAGGTGTGTGTCTGTCACTCAGTGGGTTTTGTTCAGGTCTGGAGCTAATGTGTTTGTGTCAGTGCAGTATTACAAATGGGCAGCTGGAATGGGAAGGTGTTGTGAATAGTGAAGCCATTTTGGGACATGGACAGAACTTTTAAGAAAGTTTTGCTGTGAAAAAGGTATGGGAACATTGCAGATAGATAAAGTCAGTTTTACAGTTCTCTTTTACTTCTTGTTAAGCAGTTAGACTTCCTGTATGTCTTAAAATCTATGTTGTTTCTATCCCTTTTTCTTGTTTGGCTGAACTGGGTCAGATAGTTTCTAAATTTACGGAAGTAATCAATACATTTCCTTTTGACTACGAAGCTTACTGTCATCTCTGCCTCGAGAGGCTTCATAGGCAGGTATCTCCATCATGTGGGGAAAATGCAAACTGCATGATCTTTGCACACTGTTCAGAAGTGTCGGATTCCTGATAGCATGTACAACTCAAACACAACATATAAAATGCTGTCAGTTATACTTTGTAAAAACGTCGATTGTTTTGAAGTTAATACAAAAAAAGAAAGTTAAATTAAAAAAAAAAATCTTTAGAGGTTGTTGTATGTAAATGAACACATGAAGTATCTTCTAAAATTTCACCTAAGATTGGCAGATCTAGTGCTTTCTGAAATTTTTGGCAGCTCAGTCAAAATCTTTTAAGGATTTTCTTTCACTTAAATATTTAGATCAATTTGGTAATTTTTGAGGTTTTTATTTTAACAATTTTTTGCAGTCTTCTGGCTTGCTCTCTCCAAGGAGAGTTTGTCAAGTAATTCATGTCCCATGTCTCAGATTGAGAGGATAGTCCCTGTACATTTGACTTCTAAAAATAACCAGTCTAAAAATACCTGCTTTGATTTTTAAAGATATACTTATTTGAGTTTGAATTTTAAGCAGTGAATATTGAACAGCACCTTGAGCTCTACAGGGGTGTTTTCCATAGAGCTTTGGGGATCTTTTTTTGTGTGTGTGATTTCCTCTGTGGGTTAGGTGGGAAGAAGGAAGTAATTTTAAAGGTACACCCAGAGAGAAGTTATAAGGAAAATATGGGTTGTGTAAGGAAAAATGTTTTTTAGTTTAATCCCTTTAGGTATGAGTTCTAGTCAGGATGTAGTTTGATTTCTTGGTGCTGTTCTCAAGATACGATTTTAGTTTACTACTTATCTTCCTACTGATATTTTAAAGATTTATTTCTTTAAAAATTCTTTAATGTGTGCTTATAAGCTGAAAATTTGAGGTATCTTTGTGAATCTGGGCACTTCTGATTCTAGATTTTATTAGTATTTCATAACTACTTGTATTTGCCTTTTTAAATCGTAATAATTCCAAGATTAATGACTTAGGGTTTGTTTGAGTATAGCTGCCTGGGGTGGAAGGGATTCCTTGCTTTCTATGGAATGCCTGTATGTAGTCTCTGCAAATCCAGATTAAGATCCCAGACTTCTTCTCAGCCTTCCAAATTGTGATCTTCTGTCCTTTCTTATATTTTAAAAAAAAATTTCTTCTGCTGCAACACATGTCACTTGTGCTCTGTTTTGCTGCCGAAACAGAGTAGACACTTCTTACCTTGTGTCACAGGCATGTGACTCAAGGGCTGTTTCAGTGTCCTGGATCAGAAGATGCAGCTTCCACTTTGTTAGCCTGAGTGATGGTGACACAGCTCTGCATGAGAGGACTGCTGCATTGCCTTTCATTCAAAGTTCTTGTAAGAATGAATTATATACTGTCAACAATGTGCATGTTACAGTTCTGATGATTAAGTTGTTAGTAATCAGATCTCAGGTCTACCACTTATGCTCCTTTGCAGTCATCGCTGAATTTTGAGAAACATTCTGAAAATTTTTCATGGACAGAGAATCGTTATGAAGCAAATCGCAGAAGACACAATTCTTCGGAAGGGTTTGATCCTAACACTGGAAGGCCAAATGGAGGTATAATTTATGGAATACTGTGAATATGTTTGTGTCATTTCTTTGTAGCACTAGCTAGAAAGCAAGTCTGATGATGACAGATCATGTGTGCTAAATTCTTTTTCTGCAGTGAAAGAGAGGTAATGGAAAGACATATCTGGGAGAGGATGTGAGCATAAGGGTTGGCTAAAGTGATGCGATTGCAGGTGTATTTCTCTCTTGAGTAGAATATGAATGTTGAGTTAATACTCTAGCCAACAACATATAAAATGAGTAGCCAGAAAAAGAGATTGACTTGCTGTAGCATTGGCTGGCTATTTTCTCTCTGGCACTGTTTTGTGAGATCCTTCCCTGCTGCTTATGCGATTGAAAACTTGTTTCCTATGCTATTGTATCCCAGTGTATAGAGCTTGTGATTTAGCTTTTTTAACAATTCTGCAGAGTAAAATATTATTTTTAAATGGTTTGTAATTACATTTATTTAAAATTTTAAAATCCAAGGGCATTTTGGGCGAAAAGAGAGGAATGGTTGGCGTTCACAAGGCAGAAATGGTCCAGAAAATATAAACCGACGTGGAGGGTACCATGGTGGAGGTTCCCGTTCTCGTAGCAGCACCTTCCATTGTGGAAAAGGCCAGGGACTGCATGAAAACAGTGTACTTGATAATGAAACCCGGAAAAAGGAAGAAAAAGAAGTACCCAACCAGTTTGAGGCTGAGGACTTCGTAAGTAAATTGTAATTACAATTAAAAAGGTTTCATTTTGTCTGCAAATACCATTTTGTCCATTACAAGTCGCTTCATGAGATTTCACCAGTTTCAGATCATCATGTAAGGAATTTTCTGTAGGTAAGGGAGTGTTGGTAGTTTGTCTAATAACTTGTTTCTCGTTTTATAACCAGATTTTTCACTATATGTTTATTATTGTTATTTGTGTATTTAAGTGAAACTACAGTTGGATTCCTATCTGCTGTGGTATTGTGTATGTATTAAATTCTACACAGTTACCTTATTGGAATCTGAAATAGTAACAAAGTAATTTTCATGCCCGTGGCCTTTGAGCTCTGATGCTTTAACCTGCAGTTAGGATGTAAGGGGAAGGGTGATCTTACTCTTTGAAGAAACATACATGGCTGGTTTTTTGCTTTCTCTGCTGCTGTCATATAATGGCATTGGCTGCTGCCTGAGATATTTTGTTAGAGAAGAGAAACAAGTGAGCATTGTCCTGTTTGGTTCCTGGGGGAGGTGTTTAGTCTGTCGGCAGAGGTCATGCTGCTGGTGTTATTGTGATTCTTTAGTTCATTCATCCCACAGTTCAAGGGTTACTTCTTTTAATAATGACAAAACTTTCTTTCAGCCATCTTTAAACCCTGAATATGAGAGGGAATCAAACCAGAATAAATCTCTAGCTGCAGGTGTGTGGGGTGAGTATTTTTGTTGTTTTTAAATGCAAAAATGTAGCGGAGATCTGAAGTTGTTTTATTTGAAACACAAGCCTCTTTTTAGAATTCTAAATGTATAGATTGAGAAGACTTCAATATTATTACAATGTAGGTATCTTTTTGTTAAAGGGTAGCACTTCCATATGCGTATCAGTTAGCTAGTCTGTAGATGCCACCACAACTAATACTCTTTCCCAGAACAAGTATACATCTTTTTTTGTAAAGATGTCAAGAAATCTTCACCTTTATTTTCAAGAGGAAGTGCAATGAAGGCTGGTCACCTAAATAAGTGGTATTGATTGCTAGCTGAAGGCTTTGTAAAATGTGTTGGAAGAATTTGGAGAGAAACCTGGGAGAGCTGGAAGAGTAGTTTAGCTTGCAGAGATTTAAGGTCTCTTTCTGGAAGCAAATGTCTTATGCTGTTGGTTGTGTTTGTGTATTATTTGTATGACAAATACAATCCTGGGCAGGGACATTGGGCAGACCTGAGGTCTGGATTGTTTTCTCATCCTCACCTGAGTGTTTGGCTAACATTTTACAACTTCTAATGGGCTTTATGTTGTCAATTGTTTACCCCAAGAAAGTGGTAGCATCAGATGGCAGGGGTTTTAAAGTAAATGTACTCACAATACGAACATTTCTCTTTATTTAAAAAAAATTAATTAAACATGAAAACTTTCACTTGTCTACTTAGACTACTGCTAATACTGAGATTTTAAAGGTATTTTAGTTTGCTGATTCTTTTCTCGTCCTTAACCGGTATTTTTTGCATGACAAGTAATATTAGATGTAAGCCAACCCCTGAACATAAATATCTAATTGCTGTAAACCTTTACAGCATCATAAATAATTGGACAGCTTTCTGGTTTTGTGTTGTTAGCAGCTTTCATGTGATAACCTATCTTTCAATAAAAGAGTTGTTTTGTAATTGAAAAACTGAAGGCTGTTATTATTCCCTTTAGAAGGAAAAATTATTCAGGATAGAGGAGTGTTATGATCCCTTCTAATATCTGTTAAAAACATAGGCATCTTTTAGATTCCATTTTACCTTGTGCATATGTGATGGGACCTGTAAATATTATGAAAAATCTTGTCATGAGATTTAATGAGAAATAAACTTACAGTTATGATAACTATTTTGTAGCATCTACCTGCTAAATAAAGCAAAAGTCATGTATTCTTTTAAGAAAGGGTTTGTTGGTTTTTTTTTAAACAGAGGGTATAGTGACTATGTGAAGTAGAATTGCTTGCAGGGAGAGGAAATAATCCTTGAAAAGGCTCTTAATGTAGGAATGCATGTACAAAAAAAGATATTTTTTTTCTTTTTGAAAATTTTAGAACTGTTTTAATGGATGTTCCTTAATGCTGCTAAATGGCAGTTTTTCTAGTTTGATAGCTGACTAATTTGTATGTCTCCTAATTTGTTCTCCAATGAACACAGAAATTTTGTTCTGTTGTGTCCATATGAAGCATGGAGCTAGAGAAACTGGTCATTGCCATGGTCTAATGCGTAGTGCACATCTTGTCTCATATTTATAGAACCTCAGTGCAGAGCTCTAAACTGAGCTGTTAATATATAACTAATTATTCTTTAGGAAATCTTAAGGGGAATATGAAAGCCATAAACTCTTGTGAAGTTTGAGTAACTATCAACAACTAACAGTATTTTGATTGTAGAATTACTACGCAGGAGTCTCTAGAAATGTGTAGCAGGTTTCTTTGAAGAATATATTTTCTTTTAAAAAGTGCAATTCCTGCATTGCCAAGTGAAATATTTTTAAAATGATGACTGTAGAAAATGGAACAGAACCTGTGTTTTTCCAGGTTCACACAGTATGTTATTTGTGGAGCTAATACTGATTTATGTTCCTGGTTTATGCCTGTTTGCTCTGGATCAGATGGCTGTTCCGGTACCTTATGAACTAAAAACTAGTGAGTTGTGTACACAGACACACATACACACACATATCTATATACACACACACTTCTTTTTTTCTTCCAGAGTACCCTTTAAATCCTAAATCTAGATCTCAGAGAATGCTGGTCATTAAAAAAGGCAGTACAAAAGAATTGCGGATATCTGGATTCCCAGTAGTGGGAAGCCTTCACTCGCAGCCGGTAAGGAATGGAACTGGCACAAGTGTTTATAAAGGATTAGTCCCCAAACCTGTAACTCCACCTGCAAAGGTGAGTATTGGATACCAGTGTTATGAAAAACATGCCTAGAAACATCATGCTGTAATTCTCAGTGTGTTTATTTCATCCCTGAGAATACTGTTCCTACATTATCATGTATTCAACACTTGCAAACTGCAACACACCCCAAAAATGAATAGAAACAACTTTTTTTACATTTTTCTTTTTAAATTATAATGTAGTTTCTCTTTGCTTCTCATCTACCCCTTTTTAGAAGTGCAACAGCTGTACAAGGGAGAGTAAAAATGATGTTTTTTAATTTATGGAATAGCAGTCCCTTTTGTATATATGATTTCAACAGAACAAAATAAGGTACATTTTAGAGAGGTATAGTCAGCCTATTACCTTCAGAATTTATCCCAGTTATAGACAGAGATGACATTATAACCTAGTAGAATCATTCTGGTCTCTTTCCAAATGCGACTTTCCATACACATAATCAGAATATTCTGAGTTGGAAGCGACCCACAAGAATCATCAAGTCCAGCTCTTAAGTGAATGCTCCATATGGACTTCAAACCCATGACCCTGGCATTATCACCAGGCTCTAACTGAGCTATTCTCACTGGCTTCATCTCTATTTTTTTGTTTCAGGAATTTTTCTGTGCTCTTGAGAGCCATATGGTGGATTAGTTCTTAACTCTGTAACATTTTGAATCTAAAATAATACTTTCAGCTGTTGAAGTCCCATATTTCATTTTTGATACCTCAAATATGAGGATCTTAATTGTTTTGAAATTTTAGTTTTTATATAAACAGCGTGAACAGTATTTATGAGCAGATGAATTGCTCATAAACAGCCTCTTTTCCACAAGAAAACAGATGTTTGCACTACATTAAGGTTGCAGTTATGATTTGCTTTTGCTTAATCATTTTTCTGAAGATTCTTGAAAAGAATCCTTTTTAGTTAATGACTCTTTACTTTTCTGTTTATTCTTCTGTCTAGCCCACACAGTGGAAAAGCCAAGCAAAAGAAAATAAACTTGGGAATGCGTTTCCTCATGAATCTGCATATGGTGTTGGCAGTTTCAGTCCTTTCAAATCAACTGTCAAGGCATTTGCTGTAACACAAAATTTAGTGAAAGAGGTAAAGTAGTGGCTGTAGTTAAATTTATAAAACATTTAATTTGCTTAAGGGAGGATGGTCAGTAAATTTTGTACAGAATTGTATTAAGTATGTTTTTTTGGAACTTAACGTTCAGAAAAGGTGGAATGCACATCGCTAGCCTCAAAGTACTGCAGTTTCCTTTGTAAGTTTGATTTAGAATAAAAACCCACATTAGAAAATACAGCCTGATACTTTTAGGCTTCAAAACTGCTAAAGGTATTACATGTTTCAGAAGGCCCACATAAACCTGCATCTCTGGGTTTACATTTACAAACTGTTTATACCAAAATACAGATCTTCCCTCTACTTTTGATTGTGAATATATGCAAAATCTGAAAGAACAGATACCTGTGTCTTTAATTAAAATTTTTCTGAATGAACACATTTCTAACATTCTTTCTTTTTCTGACTTCCTTCACTAGTGTAATCGGTCAAATTCTTCATCCCCTGTTGACAAATCTGGTCAGCTTCGTTTAACAAAATTGACAAGAATGCGGACTGATAAGAAGAGTGAATTTTTGAAAGCATTGAAAAGAGATAGAGTGAAAGAGGAACATGAAAATGAGAATCATGATGGGCAAGAGAAGGTAATTTTTTTCATACTTACGGTAGATCCAGTAGGTTTCAGACAAACAATAAACTACTTCTGATTTTGCTGTAAATAGCTGTTAAGTAATGGTCTTGGATCCCTAAATGAAGGAAAGGAATTACCTTTTGATTAATTTAAAAACATTGTTCCAAGTACTACTCTTCCTCCAGTGCTGCTTTGTAGTTTCTTTTTGTCTTTCTGCAGTATCTGTTAGTGCATGTTGATGACTTAAGTACTTGTGTGTCTTTAGCAACAATAAAAAAGATAAATTAGGCTTAGTAAACTAATCATACATGAATTTATATTGGAAAAGACCTTTGGTATCGAGTCCAACCATTACAGTACTGTCAAGTCTGCAAGTAAACTGTGTATTCAAGTGTAACATCTAAGTGGCTTTTAAATAACTCCAGGGATGGTGACTTAGCTGCTTCCCTGGACAGCCCATTCTAGTGCTTGACTACCCTTCCTTCCTGTGGTAGAAAGTCTTCCTGTGAACAAAGTCTTCCTGGTGTCTAACCTGAATCTCCCCTGACACAACTTGAGGCCATTTCTTGTGTCCTGTCACAGTGTTGGCCACACCTGGCCACAGCCTCCTTTCAGGCAGCTGTAGAGAGTGATAAGGTCACCCCTGAGGCTCCTTTTCTCCAGGATAAACACCCCCAGCTCCCTCAGCTGCTCCTCACAGCACTTGTGCCCCAGCCCCTGCCCCAGCTCCATTGCCCTTCTCTGGACTCTCTCCAGCCCCTCAGTGCCTTTCCTGCAGTGAGGGCCCAGAGCTGGACCCAGCACTGGAGGTGAGGCCTCAGCAGTGCCCAGCACAGGGGGACAATCCCTGCCCTGGCCCTGCTGGCCACAGCATTGCTGATCCAGGCCAGGATGCCATTGGCCTTCTTGGCCACCTGGGCACAGCCTGCCTCATGTTCAGCTGCTGTCACCAGCATCCCCAGGTCCTTTCCAGCCACTCTGGCCCAGCCTGTGGCACTGCCTGGGGCTGTTGTGACCCAAGGGCAGGACCTGGCACTTGGCCTTGTTGAACCTCACACCATTGGCCTTGGCCTGTTGATCCATCCTGTACAGACCCCTCTGCAGAGCATTCCTGTCCTCCAGCAGATCAGAATTCTCACCCATTTTGGTGTCACCTGTAAACTGACTGAGGTGCACTTGTCAAATCATTGATAAAGTGGTTAGTAGGGAGCCCTGGGGAGCCCCACCCATGACTGGCCACCAGCTGAATATGGCTCCACTCACCACCACCCTCTGGGCCCAGCCCTCTAGGCAGTTTTTACCCAGTGAAGAGTGCCCCTCTCCAAGCCATGGGCTGCCAGCTTCTGCAGAATTCTCTGGAATACTGTGTCAAAGAAAGGTTTTATTGAAGTTCAAGCAGAAAACATCCACAACCTTTTCTTCATCCACTAAGCAGTCCCCTGGTCATAGAAGGAGATCAGGTTGGCCAAGCAGGACCTGTCTTTCCCAAACCTGTGCTGACTGCGCCTGATCCCCTGATTGTCCTGCGTGTGCTGTGTGATGGCACTCACAGTGGTCTGCCCCTACCTTCCTTGGTAACACGGCAAGTCTGACATGCCTGTAGTTCCCTGGAATCTCCTTCCAATACTTTTTGCAAATGAGCATCACGTTTTCCAACCTCCAGTTGCCTGGGACCTCTCTGGTAATCCAGGGCTGCTGGTAAATGATGGAAAGTAGCTCAGTGAACTGCCAGCTCCCTCTGTACTTTTGTGTGAATTCCACCTAGTCCCAACAGACTTGTGAAGGGCAGTGTTTCATACCCTGGCTGCTAGTTATCCTATAAAACACAAAAGTTTGTTCTGCTTCTCAATGATTCTCAAACCATTTTCTTTCTTATTAGTGTTTAGGTAGCCAGAAGTTCTCTATTCTTGGTCTAATCAAAGGAGCAATAGCTCACTATATGCATAAACCACTGGTTCTAACTAATTGAGAGCTTGAAGGCCTATAATGGCTGTGTATAATATGCATCAGGTTTCTTTCAGTCTGAATTGATTTATGCAGTGTTCAATTGATACTAGAGAATATTTGTGTCAAATGCTACCAGCCACCAAATTATCATACCAGTAATCATAGTCCAGGTGAAGATAAGTAGTTTATTATTCAGAATGAGGTGCTTACAAGCCTGTTTGCTGTAAATTAGTGGTTTAAAATGTCTTATTAAAACAAAAAATCCCATAAATTAGAAATCAGCCAGATAAACAAGTGATTTTGAGGAAGCGAATTAGGCTTCTGAGATATTAAAAAGGAAACAGTGCCAGTGTACATTGCTGATAAAAGTGAGACTGACTTTACTGACCCTGATCTTATTTCAGGCAAAATGCAATTTGCTGTAATGGGACTGTGTAACTAATGTGTCAGCTAAGAAAAGCCTACATCTTTTCATTAGGTATTCTGTGACTGAGTACCCTGAAATGGATATTAGGGATAGTTTTGTTCATGTGTTCAGGAAATACACAAAGATTTTGATTTAAGATTAGAAAGATCTTAGGAACCATCTAGAGATTCAGAATTATGAAATAATGAGGCAAATTGTACTCAGCAGCTGAATCACACTCGGAAGAAGCTGTTTTGTCCTATAGAACTGCTTAGTAAATGTATACGTTTTTCTTGGTATTATGTGACATATTCTTCAGGCATATAATGTAACAGCTGAATGTATGTTTACTGGGATATGTGTTCTTAACAATATCTTGCTGACTGTTCTAATATTTCTGAAAGCAGACAACATGTGAGTGGGAGGGAAACAATGGTGGTGTTGATCCTGTGCTCTGAAGTATGATTTCTTACAGATGCAGAAGATTGCATTATTTCCTCCTCCTATGGGTAATGCTGTTATATGCCCAGTTTAGGGATTTTGTTACTGAGAAGTTGTTAACTAATAATGATTGTACTCTTCTTTGTTTTTACAATTGGTAAGACTTCTGAGGCTATTTGGCTCATTCATAAATATGAATTGCAGGTTGCTGAATGAGTAGAGTAGAAAGAAATACCTCATATTTATAGACTAAAGACCTTTTAATCTTTGAGTGAACCTGAACAGTCATCTTTGTAAATAAATTTTCTTCCTGATTTGTATTTAATGTCTAGTAATTTCCAGTTGGTGTTCACAACAGCCTGAGAAGCTAGGGTTGAGTGCATGTGTGTAAGTGAGCTTGTCTGAATTTAAAGAGCAGTATGCAGTCTTTCTGAATTCATGGCAGAGACTTTGCTATTTGAGGTATGGGTGTTGTGACCTGTCCCTTAGACTAAGTAAACTTGAGAACTCATATACTTTCAGACTTCTTCTGCCACATACAGCTCTGATATTTACTTAGGAACAATAAAAATTCAACAGCCCATTATTTCTGTAAGTATGAAGAACAGCTGAAGTACGTTTGAATTTTAAGAAGTATGAAACTTTGCAGGAAAAAAATTTGGGGAAAAGCTTGTGAGGTGCTTTCTGCATTATTTGATCAGTAGTGTATCTTAGGAATTCTGTAGCATGCAGGTGTTGCAAATGCCAGAACAGAATTACCTGTGAAGTACAGAGTCTCTCCATTTAAACTTAATTTAAACTAAACAGAACTACTGAATTGCAGCTCTTCTGAATATGTACTTGTGGATGGAATTAACTTTTACATTTTGTAATGTAAAATTATTTTTGTATTTAGGATGATGCGTCCTTCAGCTTGCATAACAACAACAGTCCTCATGGTGAGAGAGATATAAACCGAAACTTTGAAAATGAGATTCCGCAGGAGAACGGCAATGCTTCAATTACACCTCAGCAGATCATTCAGTCTTCAGCTTTCCCTCAGGCAAATGTTCTTTCAAGCTCACTTGAGGCAGAGCATAGGTATGTACCATATAAAACATAAAGTGTTTCTTCATGGTAGCTGATCATGTTCATAAATTCTTGCTAGTGCAGAAGTCAGAATCTGAAAATTGAGAAAGCATAAAATGTTTCTTGACTAAAGTAAAATTTATCTTTTAGACATGTACTAATTTAAATGAGATATACTTTGTTTCTTAGACCTGTGTACTGATTTACATCCAATTTTTAAGTAAAAAAAGTTTATTTCTTAATAAAGAATATAGCAAACTACATAGTGATTTCATCCCTCTGATTTTGGTCTAGGTGTCTGGGAGGAACAATACATGTAATTGCTGTTTGTATTAAAAATATTTTAAGTGCTGCATTTTATATAAAACTTCAGTGAGGTTTTAATCATTATTAAAGTAGTTAATTATTTTTGTAGCTGACTTGTTGACACTATTAGTGATATCACAAGACAGTCCACTGGAAGGTGAGAAAGTAATTTCATGAAAAGGATTGAAACAATTCTATTATCCCAGTAATCCAACTGCAGTAGCATTTGGTAGATATGAGAATATCTGGATAATCACAACCCAGTCTTCTGTCAGATTCTTATGGTTTAGACAGATTTTTTTTTCAGTGATAGTCTATACATTGGACTAGACAACTCTTCATTTTGTAGTGCCTGTAGAAGAAACTTTCATTTCCTCTTACTCCTCCTGAGTATGAAGAGTACAAAGCACCCTGCTCAGTTCCTTTTTTCCCACCAGTGGCAACATCACTGCCATAAGTGACACCATGTGGGATGAGTCCTGTCACTGGAGCGTTGTGGATGGTGGCAGGCTCCTCAGGAGGCGCAGACAGCAGGAGAGGTGGAGGAGTGGTGTTGTATCTAATGGATGGGGTGGAATATTTGAAGCTTGTGGCTGGTGATGGCATGGTTAAGGGCCCCTGGATAAGGATTAAGGAGCAAACAAAAAAAGCAAATGTCCTTGTTGGAGTCCACTGTAGGCCACTCACCCAGGATGATGACACTGACTGTCCTTTAAGGAGCTAAGGAACACCTCTAAATCAACTGCTGCTGTCCTAATGGGGGACTTCAACTTGCCAGATACTAATTTGGAATACCAAAAATGGAAAATGGTGCTTGCCATTGTAGGGAGAAAATCTGTGACTTTGAGAAAGACAGAATGTTCTTCATCCAGAGGATAGCTGGGCACTGGAACAGGATTCCCAACAACACCAAGCCTGACAGAGTTCAAGAAGTGTTTGGGCAGTATTCTCAGTTACAGGGTATGATTCTTGGCATTGTTCTGTTCTGGACCAGGAGTTGGATGCCACATTCTTTGTGGATCCCTTCCAACTCAGGATATTCTGGGAGTCTGTGAAATCTATGGCCACTAGAGGCTCATGATTTTTTGGCTGGCAGATGGGAGTCAGATCTAACTCTTAGTTTTTCAATTCAAATTACTTTAAATAGCCTTGTTAGGATTTCTGGGCAAATGTCTTTCTTCTGTGGTATCCCAGAGAGGCTGTGTGTCCATACTGCCACAGTGCTTTGGCTGTGAGCTCAGCACACATGTGGACAGATGGTATGGTAAACCTTTTTGTGGTAAATTGCACAATGGGTCACCACCTTAGGTCCCAGGTTACTTTTGCATACCTAGTAAAAGTATTGGCACATTTGGTACAACAGGGCTTCCTTCCTGCTGGGGAAGTTTCCAACGTGCAGCAATCCTGTTGGTATCAAGTTGGCTAATCCAAATAATTTTTTTATGTAGTTCATCCTTCTAACCATTCTAGAGTGGTGTCAGTTTAAAGGGACAGTGGTGCTGCTAACATTACAGAATGTTGCTTTAAAGTTAGTTAGCTATTAGCCTAAATTTTACTTACAAAAACAGAAGCTCTGTCGCTATTTACTTCACTGAATCCCATGCTTAGGTCTGAGCTTGCTTGCAGTAAAACTGAAGCTCAGCTAACTATCATTGAACTGCATTTAGCCTTGTGTTTTTCTGTACAATATATTCTCTTAGAGTTTTGGATGGCTTGATTGTTCCTGCCTGTTATGCTTTCCGATTTGGTCCAAATGCAACAGAGGATACAATTTCTATTTCTGTTACTGTCCTACTGATTTTTTTTTTTTAAGCAGAGTAGTGCTTTCTCCTTCTACAATTCCAGGATTTTGTTACAGTTCTAAATATGCAAATTTTCCCAGTGCACGTCCGCTCACTGTATTGGGATATAGAGTTCTTTGTGGGGAGGATTGTGTTGACATTTTTTGCTGATATCTGCCTAAATGAAGTGCCTGGTATATGGTGTCAGCTGTGAGTTTGTCTTGCTATTTTAATATATTCACTGTTTTTTAGCTATTAAGTGTCAGCTCTGGCATACATTTTAGAAACCTCTTTGTTTTTTGTAAAATAGCTTTAGTCTGTTTTAATGTTTAAGGTCAAAAGATACCTGGTTTACCTGAAGAAGGTGCTAATCCTTTTGGAAAAAACTTTGCAGCAAGCAAACTTAATGACTTCATTGTTAAATGTCATGGTATCTTCACCTTCAGATAATCTCTCTTTTTATACGATCTTCAAATGTAAAACCACTTTCTTCCTGCTCAGATACTGCCATCCTTCTTTAGGAACTAGCCAAAACATGCTGATAATTGCATCTTTGTATATCTTAAGCTTAGTTACGAGAGGAGTCTTTCTTCTCCTCATTTCTTCCCCTTATCCCAAAATCCACTCCTAGCTGTTTGAGCTGAAAAACCAGCATGTGCTGTTGGCTAAGACTCAATTGTAAAGAAGCCTGACACAGCTCTTGACATTAGCATGTGGTATAAAAAATAAATCACATGAGGCCGTTGCATCCTGAATTGGTTTCCATCGAGGGACACCACCAATATTCCTTATGCTTTGCTCTGCTTTGTTATTCAGGAAAACCTCCAGAGTCCTTCAGTGTGTCTTTGTCTCTTCATATTGTTCTCAGGGGAGTGAATACATTGCTGCTTCACTGACAGTTTTAAGTTATGTTAAGAAAACACATTCTTACTGTTCTGATACAGATCTCTTGCCTTAGAATAAAGGTATAGTTTTTACCACATATGGTGGTTGGATAGGGTCATCTTTAAGGGACCTGAAAACTCAGCTTCTGTGCTTTACATAGCTTTTACAAGACTTTGAACTCACACTTATGTAAGAGTTTGTTTAAAAAAAAAATCTGGCTGATTAATCAATGAATTTGTTACAGGTCTTCAGACATGTATGTAGGCAGAGCTTGAAATGTTTGAGTGTGTGTAGTAAATTCCTAATGTTGTCCTTCTTAATTTAAAGGTTGTTAAAGGAGATGGGCTGGCAGGAAGACAGTGAAAATGATGAAACATGTGCTCCACTAACTGAGGATGAGATGAGGGAGTTTCAAGTCATTAGTGAACAGGTAAGACAAAGTTAATTTTCCATTATAAACCTGCAGTTTACCCTAGTTGCCTTCCTTTGAGGAGGATCTGCAGTAATTTTGATCATTAGGGATGTTGCTGTTGCAGTACCATTTCAGTACTGTGCTTTTGGAAGTACAGTTGCTTCAGAAAAATTGGTTACCAATGCTGACTGTAGCTCAGGCCTATTCACTAAGCATCAAGGGAAGGGTAGGGTGTACTTCTGGGTAGTTTAAGTATTGTTGGTGGTAGAAGTGCACAGGCTTTCCCTTCTTTTTTTTATTTTTTTTTATTAGGAGTGTTGAGTAGACCTGGTGGGGTCAGTGAGAAAGAGTCAGAAATGAGAATAGTGTGAATATTTGGTAATTCCAATATTATTTGAAATATTAATAATTTAATAGTGGAATATTAAAATTTCAAGTGCTTGTTTTAGTGCGCACATTCTGCATGATATTGAAAATGTGGTAATTCCTTTCTTTTTTGCAGAATCAGCTGTTTCCTTTCTTCAGTGTCTTTGAATTTCCAATTGCTGAGATACCCATTCCGCTCTGCTGCAGCATCTCTTCTGGGCTCCTTCCCTATTGTCCTTTGCCCTTCTTAGCACAGATGTTTGCAGCACTGTGGGAAAGGGGACTGGATTGCAGGGAGAGACCATGAGGGAGAAAGGATCTCTGGGGCGAGATGTGTGGGGACATGGGTGAGAACAGGGTGAGCTCTCATTGACTGCAGGAGTTCAGCACAACTGGAGACACTGGGATACAGGTGGCTGGCCAGAGGTGAAGGCTCACAGGGCAGTTATCCTTTCTGTGTACATATGAAAAGCTGTGGATCCAGTGTAGCCCAGAGGTGAAGATGTAAAGAGTATTGAATTGCAACAGATTGTTGTGTTTGGCATTTTCTTTCTCTAAATGTGTCATGTTTTCACATTTCAGTTACAAAAAAATGGCCTTCGAAAAAATGGCATTTTGAAAAATGGCCTCATCTGTAATTTTAAATTTGGCTCCTGGAAAAACAGCACTTTCAAACCTGCTCTGGAGAATGAGGATTCTGAGACAAGCAGCAGTGATACATCAGATGATGATGATGTGTGAAGACTTCTGTAACATCTGTAGAAGTCCATTTGTTCTTGTGAAGATTGGGGATGTTTTGTCCAAGAACAAAAATTGTCATTTATGTAGTAACATGCCCACTACAGAAAGAATAATGGGACTTTCCTCTGAAGGAAGCAAGGAATGTTCTGTTGGGTGTGTTGAAAATCATTATAAGTTCTCTGTAAACGAATGTTGTAGAATGAGGCCTTGTGTTGACCCAGTGTTGACTTCCATCACTGAAGCATTTCTGACTAGCAGTGTGACAATGTTACAAATCAGAGTTTCTCACTTAATAATAAAAGCAAAGAATTGTGTAATGTCTTGCAAAACTTCTGTCTTAAAATGTCTAAGGAAGAAAAGGGCAGCTTGACACAGTGTTTTGCTTGCCAAGTCATTTTTTTCTTACAGTGGAAATCAGTGAGTCCACTTTGTACGCAAAAAGGGCAATGTAGCATGTTGGCTACAATGAGCAAAGTGCACTAAAACTCTTCCTTAACTGAGTTGTTGAACTGTTCTACAAATAACTGCTCTTTAGCCATTGGTTGTGTTGTCGGTGTTATTAATGGCAAAAGACCCTGGTGTTACAGTTCCAAATTTCTAGAATTAACTTTTAAATTGAAAGCTTTAAGGGGTATAGCAAGACCCTTATTCTCACAGTGACTTGTGGGAAAATAAGCAGTTTGATTTTACTATTTGACATGTGGAAAAATCATTACAGTGACTGGATTGAATTACATGGGAAATAAACTGATTTACAGAGTATTGTCTCAGTGCATAGCATCACGGGTATTGTTTTTAAGACAGCTAAGTTTGTTTGCATTTATATTACATGTACTCTGGCAGCAGTGCAGTTGTGCATTTCAGTGCAAAGTAAAAATACTTTCGTCATTAGATCTTGCTTTTATAGCAGCAGAAGTATATGTGTGCAATAACCACCTCTTTTGCTTGCTCAGTATAAGACTTTTTCTTTATGATCTCACATTTAAAAACCAATATTGTATTATTTATAGTTTTAGTTGGTTTATTTTAGTTCTTTAAATGTTGTCCACAGTTGTACAAGCTGTGTAGCATTAATTCATAAGCACAACTGCTCTTGGGGATGTTGCATAAGTTTATAATATAGCACATATATATATATATGTATATGTATATATATATAGACACTTCCCTGTCAAGATGTTTTTGAATTCTACTACTTCTTATAGTAAATTATTTGCAGTTTAGAACTTGAAAGCAAAAATATTTATAAAGTTGAGATTCTGTCCATATTTCTTTAGGAAAATACTCTTTTTATAAGGTGGCATCAATTTTGGGCCAAATTTGGTATGTTTCTCTTTTTTATTTATTGCTAATTTAAATGGATATTTCTTTTCAAGAGGTCAGTTTTTGTATTAGAAGCTGCTTGCAAATGTTGATGTAGTTAATTTTGGCATGGTGTATTTAAATACTCAATTTCTAATCTCAGTTTAAGAGGATAAAAATGTTTCTTTTTTAAAAAGAAAACTGCCATATCTGTAATGATGTTTTTCCTACCTGCTTGCCTTATACACCTTTTTCCTTCCCTCTCCTGATTTTTTTTTACTGACTTTGACACATGGTTTGTTCACTTTTTGGTTTTTACATACTATAAACAGGATCTTCTGCCTAGCTTAATTATATAGTGATATGTGGATGCACTGTTTTAATAGGAAGTGAAAATGTTTTTTCTTGGCATTTCTCAAAGTGGGGTGTAGGCTTCTCCCCCTTCTTTATTCAATTTTACTTTATTTCATTCACCTCAGGAATTAACTCTGAGAAGTTAATGTAATTATAGAAGAGCTGTGTTAAAATTGTATAGACTTTGGAAATTTACAAGTTGGAACTGAGAAAATTATCTTTAGAGGAAGTAGGAGTACTAGTCATACTTGGTACTTCTTCTTTGCTAGTTTATATCCTGAAACTGATAATGGAAGCGCTGATTATAATGAACTGTGGGCAAAGCAGGTAACAGGAATTGGGCAGTGGTTTTGCTTTGTAGAGTGAAACACTTTTATAGCCTTCATAACTTTTCTCTGTCTGGTTTCTCCTCTTGTGTCTGCTGATACTTGTGGATTAATTTCTGGTAGGTTCTACCAGTTCAGAGACTCCTCATAAGTGTGTGTGGCCCCTGGCTTAAGTGGTTTTCTGCCTGCTCTGTTACTTCTGTTGGCCCTTCATGGCAGTGTGGGAATGGGTGAGATTTGATATTTCCACTGAGGAACTGGATTCCCTTATGTTATATTTGCTTGTGACAAAGCTGAGTAGAGTATCTGTGATCTACTGTGTCACCTTAAGAAACTTTTAGTCACTTACTGTGGGAACTCTTTTAGTTTTTTTTTTCCTGGGAAATGTCACTCAAAACAATGTTTGGTTTTTGTAGTATACTTCCATAAAATGTATGAAAGCATTTTATTGTTCATCTTCCTTTTTTTCAGTGCTTGATGATGTAGAGAAGAACGAAATTGGATTCTCTAGTATTTTACAATGCAACCTTATGCATCTTTGACTTTGTTCCAATGCACTACAATTTAAGTAGTGCATTGGCCTTTTTGTTCTCTTATACATAAACCATGATCTATTCCCAGAATAAGTCCTCTCTCGTTTTTCTGCTTCAGCAGGTGTCTGTGTTAAAGGATTGAGAAGTTGGTGACTAAACTTGCCCATTTCCTTAGTGGGCACTAGTAAGCTTTGGAGATACTTTGTCAGTGCTGGGTTAACAGAGCTTGACTTCAGTGGTGTTAATCACAGGTGGCTGCATGCAGACATGATTTGAAGTCACACTTCTCTTCATCTTCCTGGCTTTATTGGCGGAGAACCATGTATTCCTGGTTCCCTGTTCCAACCCTCTTCAAAAGCAAACAGTAGTGATCACTCACTGGTTTTTCTGATCTGCTGTTGATGGAGAATGTACTCTCTGCCTGCTGCTGGCATGGAGGGTGCCTAAGTTTATGGTGGGGAGCTGGCGATCCTTCACCTCATTCAGAAAGACCAGAGGCCTCCCTCATTGGCTTGTACAGGGCCTTTCTTAAGGTGTAAAAGAAGCTAGTTGTCTTTGTGGAAAAGTGTTAAAACTACAGTAGAGTTGTCCACTGATTCATGTTGGGCCTTGTCAAGAGTCTGAAGAAGATTTTAATGGTCATCCCAGTCTTTGAGAAATGTTACCAAGTGCAAAGGAAATTAATTTTTATTCTCCTCTGCAGTTGCCTGTGAGGGATAAACATCTGCTTGATTTGAGATGGGGGACTTCAACTTTAGTGTTTCTTTTTAAAAGAATATCTATTTTTCAGTAAATGCATTTAAACTACTGGCTACTAGAATCTGGAAGTAGAGTTTAGTCAAGGATGCCTTTGTTTATCCATTTTCAGTTTGCTGCTAGGCAGCAGCTGAGGTAATTTACTGATCTGCAGGGAACTTTTGATCTGATTAAGGATTATTGCACTTGAGCACCAAGGGTTACTGGCTCATTAGGATAATAAATATGCTGACTAGCTGGTCATCTTTCCTCATGCTGTTGTTCTTGGTCATCAGTGAGTTTTATTGCAAACTGAATGAGGTTTGTTTTGTAGCCTGGATCACTCTGCAGCTGTCCTTGGAGGTACCTGGCAATGCATTTGCTAAACCAGCACTGGCAGATCTGCAGAGCAGTCTGGCTCTGGATGGGGCACAGGATAGTGCCGAAACCTCTTCTCTCACAAGAGGTTTGCACTTCCTCAGGAGATTTGTAAGCAAATTCTGAGGTCGGTCTCTCTTACTGGATTGCCATCTGGAGGAGATCTTCAGACTGAAGAAAAACTCACTCCTTCAACCAGTGGGTCAGTGGAGTTTACTGCTGACTTCAGTGTCCACCACAGTCTGCTTCCACCGTAGTCCCTTGTGCAGATCAGATCATCTGATGGATGTGGGAGGTCTCACAGGCCTGTAGCAGCATGCCTTCCTTAAATTCCTGAAAAGATACCCAACAGTAGGCTTGGTATGTAGACTTCATTCTTCTTGGATATTCTTAGTATGCAGCTATTTATTTCCCTGGCACTGGCATGATTTTCATAGAGAAATGCTGTTCCATACCTGGAAAGCAAGTGCTCATTTAGTTTTGTCTTCTATGCAGATGAAAGATACAGCTTTGAAGTGAAAGAGTATTTTTGGTAAGTGATGCTTGCTGATGTCCAGGCAGGCATCTGCTTAATAGATTGATGGAGCTTGGGTCAATATGGGAGAACTTGAGTTCCCCTTAGGAGATGTGGGGAGAGAACTCTTTCTGTGAGTACTAAGCAAGACACTACTAAGTTTCAGCTTGGGAAGCAAAGGGAAACAAACTCCTTTCATTCTGTCAGGAAGTGTCAGATTTGAGAACTGTTGCAGGAAATTGCACATGCTTGAGAACTTGGACCAGCCTGGTGACCTGAGCTATTTCGTTTTACTAGTTTAACAGGCTGGTGGTGTGCTGTCCTGAGTTGTGATCTTCTAAGCCTGTAGGTTCTGAAACAGACCTGTGCATTAGGTACCAACACAGGGCTTCTGGCTGGCTCTGAACCCAGAGGGTGCCTGGTGTTGCCTTAGTGTTACCAGAGTTGTGTCAGGGAAGGCGGTACAGCTTTTCCTCCAGTCAGCTACTTGGTGTAGCCAGTACAGGAGATGGTGTGCAGCTCTGATCCAGCTTAATCTAGCATGGTGGCTTTAGTATTGTGGCTTCCTTGTTCCTTTTGTGTGATAGCTTAAAGTCTGGGGGCTCTGTGCTATTCTTATGTCTTGGGTAGATGGTTGTTAATTGCTGCCCCGAGATGTGCAGGATGTCTCTGTTTCGGCCCGCATGTCTGAAGAACGAGTCAGAGCTCTTCAGTTTTGAAGTTGTTTATTAACTCTTGAAGTTGTCTTGAAGTTGTTTATTAACTCTTATCTATACAATTTTCTTTCTGCCCAGCCGAGGTCTGCTCAGCAAGGCAGCCAAAGGCACTCTGACCGCCCCTGAGGTGGTGTTGTTCTTTTATACTACAAACTACGTATATCATATTTACACTTAATTCCCAATACCTATCACCTATGTTAGACAGTGCACTTCTACTCTAAACCAATCCCAAAGTGCCAACATCACTGCAGAAAATGGAGAAGAAGAAGAAGAAGAAAGGCTAGACACCCCCAAGTTCCTCCATCTTGTCCCCACAACCCTCATACCAAAAATCCTAAAATCTACATTTTCACCCTGTGATAATTTTATTATTATACTATTTAAACTTCTGTGACTTTCAGGTCCTCATACAAAGCTGGTAACTTGCTCCAGGGATCATAATCAAACCCGCAGGTGTTCTGGGCTGTGTGCCAGGGTCTCCGAGCCCCCCAGCAGGGTCCTCAGCAACTCTGGACACCCAGAGGGATGTACTGAGTTCTGACACTTGTGTATTCCATCTCCCCTTGCTTTCTCCTGAGGACTCCTGAAGCAAGTCAAGGAGCCTCCTGTCTGGGCTTAAGTGACTGCATCATGGATAGGTGAAAAAGAGAGCTTTGAGTTGTTCAGCTTACATATGCACACACTGTGTGGCATGGATGTGCTCTATTAGAATTTGAGTGTAATACAAGGGGACATTGTAGAATTGTTAGCAGTAACTTATTTTCTCTGCTTGCCATTTGTGCTTGGTTTTACTGATGTTCTTGTCATGAGCATCACATTTTTTTCCTGCCTTAAATTAAAGCCAGGCTGAAGGGGCCTCTTCCTCAACGACTGGGTTAATTTTTTATTTTCCTAAAACATT